ATTACTCTTACACTACATTTTTTAAATTAAATTTGTGTCTTAAAAAGTTTCTTATTCAGGTCTGTCATTCCCTGGAATCCTCCCTGATCCTTCACTACAAAAAACAACTGACATAAAAATGAGTCCAGGTTCCAGCCAGGCAATTTCTATGACAAATTCTCGTTCTGATCTGTTGATGTTTTGCAGTTATGCAAGATTTGGAAGAATTTAGCCATCCCAGTTATGTACCTGAACCTCTTATTCATATTTTACAATACAGACAGAGGGAAATGAAGACTTTTAAAAAAGATCCGCAGAATATCACACCCATCAATCCAAGCTGGACTACAGTGCAGCATTTTTTTCTTTCATGTCTCAGCTCGGGGAAGAATTAGTCATCTAACAGGCTGAAGTTCTCATTTTGGTTTCAGACTCTTTAGATGATGCTCATGTCTCATTTCTCTCTTACAGACCTTTGAAGCCAACACCCAATCTCAACTGAACCTTGGAGCTGTAATGATCCCACAGATGCTCTACTTTTATGAAATTTCTGGAAAACAAGCAGCCAAGCAGCAAGGATTACCAGTTCCTCTGCAGAGAGAATGGCTGCAGCAGGAATTCTCCTCTTATCGGCTGTCAGCATGCTCAGGCAGGAAACCATCTGGGAGCCTCCATGGCAGTAGCGAGGAAACCAGGCTCTGCTACTTCTGCTGCTTGCAAAGTTGCATTTCCTTCCCTTGTGGGCAGGAGTGGAAGCAAGGCGTATTTCAAACACATCAGTGTCCGAATCTCTGTGAGAAGCAACTCCACTTGCAGCTTATGTGTCTGTGGGAGTGCTTTGCTGTCCTTCAGGAAAGAAGCTAACCGCAGCTGTTCATTTGATTCTCTCAGACTCAAATTGAGATTGAACAAGTCCCATTACACTTAGTGTCATATTTTTGAGATCAGAATCACACTATTTACAAAAAAGTATTTTGTTGACATTTTTGTCTCATCTACATCTAGCAAAACAGCAGCCACCATTAAGGTGCATTCTGCAATAGTTTGGATTCCATGCTGCTAAGCAGATGGTATTTATTGACAAACCTACCTCTAGACTGCTTACTCTTGGGGCTGTAGGTGCAGCCAGACTGAAGCATATTCACTGCTCATTATGAAAATGTTCTTTATACCAGAAAACAATCTGTGTCATATGGTTACAGCAGACGTCCAGAAACGTCCCATCTCTCTGACACCACCACCTCCCCAAAACTGCGTATTTGTTGCCACATGTAGACTGTGTTTCCTGGCTCCTTTCTTCAGAAGCCCTCCTTGTGCACCTTGCAGTAAACAAAGAACAGCAAAATTCATCAATCAAGATGGAAAACAGACATATTTCCAGTTTTAAATCTTCACAAATGTGAACTTAAGTCCACAGGCACAGGAAGAGTGTTTAGGACAGGACATTTGCTAATGAAGCAACATAAGCAAAATTGTATCATGTACAGCTTTCACATTAATGAGACTCAGGTAAGACAGGCAAGAAGCATTATAAAGAAGTATGGATCTGGTGCAAACTCAGGAGCTGCCAGCTACTTCATGTAAAGTAAAGTGTGTTGTCCTCCTGGTTGCAGTCTGCCACAAGCACAGGTGCAGACAAGCAGACCAGTCTGAATGGTTTCTGCAGAAACACACTGCAGGAGGTGAGAGGGAAACATCAGCACTAAAATCATTCATGTTTTCCTGTCTCCTCAGGACTGATGATGCACTCAGCACTGGTAAACCAAGGAGAGGTGGGTACGGCCCCACTCCATCACTCCTTATTTGCATACCTCCCAATTAGATTTCTATTCAGTGATTTAAGCATCTTTCATGGTGTCATGGCACAGCCCTCTGTAAATATGTCTGTAATTGAGGGTGATGAATGCACCTTGTCACTCCACCCTAGGAGGTGGTGGCTGAGACTTCTTCATTCTTGTCTCTTTCAAAGGGTATAGAATTTCACCCAGATGCACCTGTTATAAAGTTCTGCATTTCATCAAAAATGTAGATGTGTATCTCAAGATAGCTGACATCCTATTGATTGGCTTGTCACTGATTTCTTCACCTTCACACCAACATGAATCCCTTTTTGCCTACAGACAGTGGGAACTGCAGGATGTAAGAGGTGGCAGAGTGCAACATCTCAGAGAAGTGCAAATACCAAATTCCTCCAAATTATTTTGATTATTTATCAAGCACTTTTGTATTATTGTAAGTATTTTCTTGCATATCTAAAAACATACGCACCTGGAAAACAGGTGGTTCTACAAGTACCTGCTTTCCTTATGTATATAAATTACCTTGCATAGCAGAATAACTTCAGTGTCACAAAGAAAGCAGCTTCTGATAGATGTTTTAGCCAATGCAGGGATACTTACAAAGATTCTTTCCCAAGTGAGTACTCTGGCATCATATACAATGTGTACTAATACCTCTGAGTTTCCTTCTGTCAGGCTAGCTTGGTGTTCTTGACCACAGCATTTCCATGAAACTTGCCAGAATAACAATACGTATGATTTTTGCCCTTCTGTTAAACATTGCCAAAATTCACTAACATATCAGTTGTCTCAAAAGATACCTTACCTGCATAAATTTTGCTCTTTCTGGAAAATGTGAATAACCCTGTATTGACAGTGGATACGAATAACACAGATTGCCTAATAAACCAGGAAAAAACTGACTAGTATTTCCTATCTGTTGGATTCTTGATGTTCCATGAGTAGGTCACGGGCAGAAGTTCACACTGAAGGTCGGGATCTTCAGTGACCCACACTGAGTGCAGAATGGGCCATATTTGGAGTAAGCTAGTGAGTTCAGGATAAAATTTGAGCTCCATAGAATCCATAGAATCCTAGAATAATTGAGGCAGGAAAAGACTTCCAAGATCATCTAGTCCAACCATCCACCTACCACCAATATTTCCCCACTAAACGACATCCCTTATTACCAGATCTAAATGTTATTTACTAGACATAGTTGGGCCTGGCTAGTAAACTGAGTACAGACAGAAATACAGCTGTGTAGCCAATGGCACTCACTGAACTCCAGTACTTACTAGAAATTCAGGCTTACTGAAACAGAACAATACAGGAAATTGCCTGTTGGGGGTGGAGGTAGCACAGAATAGCTGCTGTGCTTCAGCTCACACCCTCACTTATTTCGAAACAACTTCCCTGTTTAGACAAGCCCTAAGAGATTGAGACATTTATAATGAGTATTTAATCTTTCCATCTCTTATTTTCTTACTGTTTTGATGTTTTCTCAGACTTTGAAAATTCAAAATGATTTTTTCCAGAAACTATAAGCCTCAAGGCAAAAATAAGGCAGCTATAAATTGACCGTTGCCAGTGGGAATAAAACGTTTATAACTTTTTCCAGCACAGGAAATGTTCAATATCTTTACAGCAGTGACCATGTTTTAATGCATTTATGCCCTTAGGGTTATTGAAATCCTCCATTCACAAATTTATCCACTGCAGATCCTAAGGCTGTTAATATTTCTACCATGCCATAATGCTTTTTGGTGGTATCATCATCATGTGCATGTTGTGAAGGACAAATGGCTGCTTGTTTTTTAGATGAAATCAAGTCCAAAGACACTGACTGAGAACGCAGCACCTGAAGCAGCAGGAATGCCTCTTCCAAATTCTCCTTAGGAGCGGAGTGCAATGCAAGGGGTCTTTGCCAAGTCCTCGAGGCATGACAGAAATTAATGATTTGTACAGCAGCAGCGAAACTTCCTCATTGTCCCTCAGGGAAATACTGTCTTTGGAAACCATAACACTAGGAGAGTAATGATAATATCACAGCAGTGATTTAGAGGGACATGAGGAGCAGCTCAGAATACTGGAAATGAACATTTGCTTTCTGTGCTGGAGACGGGTGCCTTTTTCATCATAAATCGACTTTTTTCCTCAAGCAGTACCTCAGTGATGTTCAGTTTGGAGTAATGTGCCCTCGTGTTATTGATACAATTGGACTCTGGTGTGAAAGAGGAATTCCTCATTTTGGACTGAAGCCCCACACTCATTCACAAAGTGTGCGCACAGGCAAAGGAGCAAGTCCTATCAGAGTTACTGCAGAAGTCCTTTTCTCTCACTCCTCTTACTTCAGGGACTGCCGTCATTTCTGAGGGCAAGGAGACAAGACAGCTTCTTGAGGAATGTTTTGAAAATGAAGCTGCGATGCCTCGTGTGAGCGAGCCCAGTCCCAGCAGCAGGACGGCTGAGCCCCTGGCACGGGGCAGCTCTGCTCGGCTGTGTGACGCTGCTCAAACTGCCGTCCTATTGCAGCCCACCGACAAGGTGGTTAGCTGGAAGGTAACGAGGAGGTGGGAGGGCAGCAGGGACAGCAGCACGGATGGAGCTGCTGCTGAGGGACAGAGCCTGAGGAGCAGGCCCGGCGTCCCAGCCCGCCGGCAAGGTGCGGCCACCGGAGGATGCGTGGTCGGAGCCCTGGTCCAGCTGACACGGCGGCCCTGTGGCGGAAACCGTTGCCACGCTTGGCACGAGCTGCGCAGCGCTCGTTTGCTCTCAGCTGAACGACGAACGGAGCACAGCACAGCGAACCGGCGCTCCTCACCCCGCGGGGAGAACCCGCCTCACGAGAAGCCGCGGAAAAAAGCGTTGTGACATCGCGGGGCGGCACATCTCCGCCGGGATCGCCTCGCTGCCGGCTCAGCCCTGGCTCGCTCCGCAGCCGCTTCCCGCGGCGCCCGCCCGGATCGCCTCACACCCCGCGGGCGCAGCCCCGCACGGCCCGGAGCTCGCCCAAGCGGGGCGGGGCGGGGCGGGCGCGCGGTCACCTGATGCCGCCGCCGCCGCCATTTTGTCTGGGAGTGGAAATGTGAAAGGGAAAGCCTCGGCACAGCCCGCGGCGGGAGGCACGGCGGAGCCGGCCGCTTTCCTCCGGGACGCGGTCTGCAGCGACGGACGGACGGCCTCACCGCGGACCGCCCCCGCTCCCGTCCTGCCCTCGGCTGCGGCGCTCCGAGGACTCCTCCCCGCCGCCCTTCCCCGGGGAGCCGCTCCCGCCGCCCGGCCTCGCCGCGATGTCGGGGCAGTCGATCACCGACCGCATCACGGCGGCGCAGCACAGCGTCACTGGCTCGGCCGTGGCCAAAGCCGTCTGCAAGGCCACGACCCACGAGGTGATGGGCCCCAAGAAGAAGCACCTGGACTGTGAGTACGGCCCTCCCGAGGCCTGGGGCGGGCGGGGCTCCGAGGGGCGCCGGGCGAGCTGCCGGGCCGGGCTGCGCTGCCGGAGCGGCTTCCACGTGGAACGAGTGAGCTTTGTACCGCCCGCGGAAACGGGCGAACCGGGAGCACCGTGCCCGCCGGAGCAGCGCCTGTAGGCACCGCCGTGCGGAGCGGGGGGCTGGCGTGCGGCATCGCTGCCAGGAGCTTCGGGTCTCGGTTTTCTTCTCTGTGCATCCGGGGGGATGCGGCCGTTCGTAGTGGCGTGTCGCTGCGTTCCTTGGGCTTTGCTAAAAGGCTTGGAGTGAGGTGAGGGGTTGGGAGAAGGTGGATCCAACGCGCCTCTCCAAAACGAGACTGCTCTGGTGCTGCTTTTACGCGTAAATTGAGTGCTAAAACAACTCAGGTGCCACGAAGTGCAGGAAGCTGCCTCCGGTATCTACAGAATGATCGGAGTTGTTGCTTTGTTTCGATTTTAGTTGGTCTTTAACTGCTCCAACCTGCGCTGAACGCTTCCGACTTCGTAGCGTGCAGCGGCAGCGTGAAGCGCGGTGAGCTGTGCGCGCCGTGTGCGCTCACGCTGGGGAGGGGACGTGGAGCTGGGCACGGCTCACCTCCGAGGCACGGCTGCAGGTGGGACTGTCGGGTGATGATGCTAAGGAGAGTGCTGTTCGGGCTGTTGGAGTTTGGGGGCGGTTTGGCTCTGCTGTGGTGTGCGTCTGTTGAAACAGACTTTTTGTTTGAGAGCTCTGGATGTGGGTCACATAGTTACAGCCGGTGCAAATGTATTTCTTATTGATCTGGATGTGCGGAAGCCGGCTGTGGAGGTAAGTACTGCAGCTACCAGGCTGAAATTGAAAGCCTCAAAGCTGAATAATGAGCGGTGTAATGAATAGGAAGATCACTTCATCTGGTTTTCTGCCTGAGGTAGAACAGTTTTGCAAGGTAACCCTTAAGGTCAGAAATGGCATCATGGCAGGAAGCCAGGAAGTGGTTGCTCAATAGTTTAAAAGTTTCTGAAGCTTAAAAGATGGAATTCATTGGTTGAAAATCATGTCATTCACTGGAAGTTACCCTCACAGAATAAGCAAATGGACAGGTGGAAGAACTGTGTAACATGAGAACAGCATAAACTTGTGCTGTGACATTCTTCTGAATGTCTCTTGATACAAGTCTGTTCAGAGCTGTCTCCTGAAGGTCCTCCTGTGCCACAAGTTCTGTGTTTTGATGTAACTTGTTTTCTATCATTTTTGTCTGAAATTAAGAAAAAGCTTGTTGTGCTAACAGTATATCTTGAAATGGAGGGGCTCTAAGAGGTGAACAAAAAAGATGAGAAATGTGGTACCAGAAGTACCTCTGCAAAAGGAGTTAAAAATAAAATAAATGCCATTCTCCCACCTTCACTGAGCACACGGGGTTGCTTCATTTCTAACATCCACAAGACTTTGCGTGGCATTTCCTGATAATTTTTCTTGTCCATCTGTAAGCAAAACTTAGTTGTATCTCATCTGTCTGCCTTTAATACAAGTTCAAATGCTGTAATCTGTCACACAATATAGTTTCAAAGCCACAGTGCAAGTACTTTCCAAGTTAAGTAAAACTTGAAATAAAACATAGCCTGGATTTAATGCAAAGCACTGGTGCTTGTACCTTAGTGTCCCTACGTGTGTGTCATTAAAAACGCTGCTCCATCTGGTATTACTGTAATTGCTGCTTAAAAAACATGTTTTGAGAGTTGGCAGTTGTGTCGAGGATCTGGAGCAGTACCTGTCTTCAGATTCCATTCAGATTAATTCTTAAAATTCCCCTTGTTGCCCAATTCCGTTGGCAAAGAGAGCTTGAACGTTACAGCATGGTATGAGTGGGAAGGCGTTCTGCACACGGCGTGTGGACTGGGATTATTGGGAGGCTTGAGTTCTATCTGACTGACTGTTGCTGGGTAGTAAAGTTGCATTCTTCTTAAAGAGGAGAAGAAACCTAAGCAGTGTCAATGGGAATATTTCGTATGAGTGGTTTTTTTTTCTCTTAAAGTAGGTCACAGTGTCCTAAATAAGTCAGCAGATCTATTTCTGTAGTATTCTGTAATATTTTAGGATAAAATAAAACATTATGTGATGTTTCTTCATTTTCCTCAGTGGAGTGCTTGAGAGTCTTGTCTCCCCTTCCCTGGTATGTTGGTTCTCTTGCTGTGCCACGCAGTCTTCTAAGGTTAGTATTGCAGTGGAGTGGGGGGAGCTGCTCCTTTGGTGACATCTCTTCCTGGGTAACTATGGGAAGTTTACTTCAAAAAAGAAAAAGTTGTAGCTGAGCTGTTAGCTGCGATGCACTTGGGTGTAGCCCAAAGTTTAGAAAACAGACCTCTGAAGAAGTGCTGCATTAAACGTTCAACTGAGCACTGAGTGAGACTGGAGTTATTTCTCTCCTTATAACTTGTATACAGCCCACTTAACTGACACATGGAGGGGAAGCAGTTGATGTTCATATAAACTTATAACTACTGTATGCATGCAGGCTTAGAAATGTTCTTAGAAGTGGTAATTCAGTTACTTCAAAACTGTGTTATGTAACAAAACTAGGCTGTTCACTTCAGGTGAAAGCTCAGGTCTCCACTGAGCCATTGCGGATTCATGTTTTGCCCATCATGTCACATGCTGACTGTCGCAGTTCTGGGGTGTTTTCTGTCTGCCAGTCTTACTGCTGGCAGCTGCTGGTCAGAGATATGTGTGTTATGATAGAACATGAAGAAACGATCTCAAATGCTCCCCCAGGCAGGAGGGTGTCTGTCTTTAATCATAGAATCACTTGAGTTAGAAAGGACCTTTAAGGGTCATCTAGTCCCTGAATTTCAATTTGACCTGAAGAAAAAAGGCCCAGAACACAGCTGATGTTGGTATCTTTCTCTCTGTGCACATTTAATGTGGCAATTGCTTAAGGCTTTTTAAAACAAAACCTTACGGGCTGCATTGAGAAACTCTGCCTAAGGGTTTATTTTGTTTTATTTTGCAAGCAACTTCCAAAAAGTAAATGCATTTTATTTATTTATTTTTTAAGACTCCAGGGTTAAGAAAATTGGTCTCTAATCTTCTCTCTGCTATTCATAGAGTGGCTTCTGTCCTGTGACAGAAGGGAAAAATTAGGGGGATATTGAACAGTTGTTGTTGTCTCAACTTCTGTATTGACAGTTGTCTTGAAAGGAGTATTCCTGAACTAAGGAAATGATGACTTCCTTGCTTGGAAGTTGAAAAATACCAGGTTTTTGTCAATGCCAGACTGAGGAGTTTCTGAAGGGCTGATGGCATATCCGTGCATGCTGCTCTGGAGACCTGTGTGGCTTTGGAGATGATGTGCCAGTATTTCAGATGGGCTGTGGGGGTGATTGCCTTTGTACTCTTCCAGGCAGTAAGATTTCCACAGCTCTTTCAGGCTGCTTGAAATCCTGTACAGAAATCCTCTTCTGCTTTAAAGCCAGGTGACTTTAATTTTTTTTTCTGTGTTAACATACTTCTGAACTCTGTTCAATTCTTGCTCAGGTCCCATAACCTCAAGCACAGCTTGGATCAGGCTATGAGTAGCACTTCATATGCAGAATTCCTAAAGTGGTTGGGCTCACATGTTCAAGAAGCAAGTTGGTCATCCTGGAAAACCTCACTAGCTCTTGCACAGAATGCTGGACCTGTATTTCTCAATCATGTGAAGTAGTGTGGAATCCAGTGGCACGAGCTTCCCAAATACACGTGGGCTTTTTCAACATTTGCTGTGTTGTCACTTGACAGAAAAGTACTTCTAGCCTTCTCAGAAAGCAGAGGGCATTGGCTCCCTTCTGAAAGTTGACACCAGGCTGGCTTTTTATCACCATAAACCGTTACAATGGAATAAGCCCCGTTTTTTTCCCCTTTTTTATTTTTATTTTTTTTAAATGAATGGTTTAAGGAGAGTTGATCAGTTAGAGCATTTGGTTTAGTTGCTAACAGTAGAATTCTGTCACATCTTGATAGAGTAACACCTCTAAGCATGTGTTTGCTGTCGATCTGAAGTATGCAAGAAATCTCCCAGGTGTTCATAGAAGGCTTTACTGGAACATCTGCTGGTAGACTTTGTCTGAAGGAAGACAAGACTTGCAGATGGGGCCGAAATCTGTGTGAAACCAAAATCTCTCCAGTAAAATATGAATGATATGATCTGTCTGTCTGCTGTTTCTGTCTTGGAGATCAAAAGTTGTTTTTTAACCTACATCTTTCCTTCAAGTCCTGCTTGTTATTTGATAAGCAGTCTCTTCAGTGGAGATACTGAATAGTAAAATTGACTTGTTTTGTGAAGGAGAGCTTTGTGCAGGAATGCTGTTTTCATTAGGCTCTCTATGTGGTCATAGACCTCAACGTTTAATGGAACTTCTTCCTTAATTGGTACCTGTTGGTAATGTTACAGACACTGCTCAGCATAGTCTGTGTTTGTTGGTTTTTTAGTAATTCCTATTCTCAGCCTACAACTCGTAAGACTTCTGCAGCGCTTCTCTGCTGGTCGCAGACCCTTCAGTTATATAAAACACGCTGTGATAAAGCAAGCAACAGTCTTAATAATACTCGCTTATAAACAGCATGGATTCAAGAAGACTTACTTACCTCAATGTGCTTTGAGATAATTACTTAGAAACGTTATAACAAGGTTGTTCAAGAGATGAAGCTTTGGAGTTAAAACTGACTTTCTTCCTATGTATAAATCTTGGAATGGGAACTTGTTTTGTTACGTGGAGCAGTAACTGTAGATTGTTTGAGCTTACCAAAATCCTAAAAATGTTTTAAAATTTGACACGGTGTCTGAGGATGACACAGCCAAAAGTTGAAGTGTCTACCGAATGACTTGCTGTTTGAGAATTGGACAGGGGCGTCTTTTAATACTTAACAATAAGGTTTTGATGTGAAGCTTGTTTCAAACTTCTTCTTAGAGCTCTTCTTTTTGTATAGTTATTTCAGTGTTTGTGTGTCGCTTATAGGTGGGATGAAAACTTTCACTGGACTTGAATGTTTTCTACCTATTTTGAAACTTCTGACATCAAAGTGGAATCAGTAAGCAGTTAATGTTTTCTGTATCTTAACTGAAGCAGAAGGCTCTCTAAAATTCTTCACTTTCCAAGTTATCTTGTTATTAATTGACTCAAAGTGAACATTGGTGATCCTTAAACAGATTTGTAGTCAGGGTACATCTTTAATATATTCTGTGCATATGAATAGGTAGAAACGTTTAAATAGCTGAAGATGGACATCAGAAGCTGGCTGTGTTGACACCTCACTATTAGTACCTGGGTGCTGGCCTTCAAGCACTTGCACAGAAGGACCACATGAGCAGTAATGCTGATCCACAGCCAGCAGCCTGCTCAGGAACTTGCCTTCAGTAAGAGGCTGCAGAGGAGGTTTTCAAATGAGGTGTTTGTAGTACTGGCCTTGCCCAGTCCTTGAGCTGTGCTTTGATCACACCTGAGACCAAGCTAGCTCACAGGGAATTAAATGAAATGTGTATGTCCTGAGGGGGGTTAGAACATTCTTGCTTCCTTCTCAGCAGTACCTTTCTCCCCAGGTGTCTGCTGGAGCGTGCTCTGGTTTTGTTCCGGTACTCAGGCAGAGTTCTGAAGCTCTCTGTTCTTCCTAGTAAACGTTTAACTATTGAGTGTATGATCAGTCTTTGACACAAACTGCTTGAGACCTGCTGTGATCCCCCACAATATGCTCAGCGCGTTGGTGATTGGGTCAATTTAACTGTATGGAAAGATGGCTGTGGGCCGATTCTTCCTCTGAAATCTCACAGAAAAGAGGCTTAGTTCAGGTTTGCAGCATCTGGCTGCCAGGTGAATCAGTTCTCAGGCTAAGATCAAAGTTCTCGAATGCTTGCTGCTTGATCTCAGGAGGTGTCTCTGCTTTCCCACTCTTCTCAGCTTCTCAGTTTTGTTTGGATGGAATGACTTCTGTGTCTGCACTGGCTTTTGAACGGCAATTTGGGCACAGTATCTACAGGAGCAAGGTTTTTTTGTGATATTGGGACTCCTTAAAACAGTCAAAATGCTTTTAAATTCGCATTCATGTCTTTTGCCAAAATGGAGCGAGTTTGAGCTGGAGATGTGAAATAGTTCAATTATTTCTTATAGGAAGAACTGAAGATAAAACTTACAGTATGAATTCTCTGTGTAAAACTACAAAACCTGGTGATCTTGGAGTGCATAACTCATTGCAATGCTGTGTTGTGTTTTATTTCCTTCTTAAATGTAGATCTCATACAGTGCACAAATGAAATGAATGTGAATATTCCACAGCTGGCAGACACGCTCTTTGAGAGAACTGCAAACAGTAGCTGGGTTGTAGTGTTCAAAGCTCTAATTACAACACACCACCTCATGATGTATGGAAATGAGGTAAGATGTAATTAGTTCTGTAAAGGCCTCTTTAATGGTGGTTTTTATATTTCAACAGGTAGTAGGTTGAAATTAAGGGATAATCTGAAGTGAAATTCACTGCTTGGAAGGCACTACTTACTGCAACTACAAAGCTAAACTGAATGCTGTAAATCACTGTGTGTATTTTGCTCCCTTCTCCTAATACAGTTGTTACCTGCATGCTGAAATGTGAAGGAAAAAAAAAAGAAACAATAAAATCCAATGTTGAACTATAAGGAAAAATTGAAGCTTAGAGTCCTGGGTTAGCAATTGGTATCTATTTTTTTTTTTTTTCATGTAATATTTTACAGCAGAGAAGAGCTGTATTTTTATGTGTGTACTGAAACTGTTCCTTACCTTTGAATAGATGCATCTGGGGTTCAGATCAGAGGTGTCACTAGCCCCAGAAGTCCTAAGTCCCCGACAATTGTAATCGTTTATGGACTCAAACATGGGTCAGGAAGCTAAAAAGCACAGAAGCTGCAGTTGTTGGAGTTGTGTATGGGCAACTTGAAAGAAAAACGTTTAAAACGCCTTGCTGTCTAAATGTTTTGTTTCTTACTTTTCTATTATTTGCTGAGCTAGCTATTGTTTTTCAGAACTTAAATGTTCTTTATTCTGATCAGTATGTTGTAAATCTGAATTATACCAACTGAGTGCTGCTCTTTACCACAGTTCTAGTAGCATTATTATAAATTATGTTGTTACTTAAGGGAAGAAACCTGTCTCTGACTTGTACAATGGGAGTAGAAGTGTGGGAACTCATAACTTAGGTGGAGCTCTCACTTTGCATTTTCTAGCTTGGCTGTTGTAAACCTATGATGTTAACGCAGCCCGCTCCCCTCCTGCCTGGGCAGCCATGTCTTTTTCTTCTAAGTCATGCTTTTACCAGATCTGCTATTTTGTATGTTAGAAATGTTGCTGATCAGCAGTTTCAAGGTTTTCTGACTCTTGATCTAGTATCTGTTGTTGGAGGTTACGAGAATCGATTATGAATTGTAGTTTTCTGCCTGAATGTTTTGGCTGTTGCAACGAAAATTTGACTCCACTTTTTTTTCCACCAACAGCGCTTTATCCAGTATCTTGCATCTCGAAACACATTGTTCAATTTAAACAACTACCTGGACAAAAGTGCCATGCAGGGTAAGGATCCTTGATTGCTTTTTTGCTCTGTGTTTGGTACCTGTGTTGGTGTACTCTGGGGGACAAGTGACACTGAGGTGAGAGTATTATGATTTGTACTGTGTGAAGCACCAAAGAATATCTGACCAAGCGTGTATCCCAAGAAGGTGAAATTGAGTTAACTGAGTACTGAAGTTTGCCTGTAATGTGTGTATCATCCTTACAGAGCTGCAAGTTTGAAATAAACTTGTACTATGTAGAGTAGACCTGATGAATATCAGCACACTGGTCTCTTTTGAACTTTGATTGCATTTCAGTATCTGAGAAGTAAACGTGAACTGTTAAGGTGCATGGAATGTGCTGCATGAATGGTGAGATAAATTACCAGAGGCCTCAATGCTCTACTGGGAGTATGTTTTCAATCCGATTTCAGATTAGAATGTTGTAATGAGAGCTGCTTGGTTTTTGCCTACTTCTTTGTGTTGTAGGCACTTATTGTCACAATTGCAAGGAATGCATTCCTAACCTTAGCAAGCAGGGAAGAAGCTGTAACTCTACATGTCAAAGAGGAAAATAGTGAATCTCAAAACTCTGGAATAAGTCTGTGAAGCGCTGCTCTCCAGCAAGTGGATGTGAAATGTAGGAGAGTAGTTCTTGAAAAGAACTTGGAGGAAACTGCATCATTCCAAATATCTAACCTGCAAACACTTAACTTTTAGGCTATGATATGTCTACCTTCATTAGGCGGTATAGCAGATACTTGAATGAAAAAGCACTTTCATACAGACTTGTAGCAGTTGACTTCACCAAAATGAAAAGAGGGTAAGAGATTTTACTGCTGTTTAGCCTCTGTGTGTGTGTGTGGGGGGGGAAATACTGGTTATTCTTGAGCTTATCGTGATGGTATTCCTTTTGACCCTTTGAAGTAATCTAATAGTGTGGAAACAGCATAATATTGCTGAGGTTTCTTGGTGACCTGTAAACATGTCTTTTAACCTGTAGGATAGATGGAGTAATGAGAACCATGAATGCTGAAAAGCTCCTAAAAACTCTTCCAATCATACAGAACCAGCATGATGCACTCCTTGATTTTGATGTAAGTACTCTAGGCTCAGTTTTAAGTAACAGTCTCTCATTTTGAAGTAAGTTGTATTATTTTATTAAGTACTGATTTACTTTCTTGTTGCTTTCTACACAGGCAAATCCAAATGAACTAACAAATGGTGTCATTAATGCTGCCTTTATGCTCCTCTTCAAAGATTCCATTAGACTTTTTGCAGCATACAATGAGGGGATTATTAATCTTTTAGGTATGTGACAATTCTTTTTAGCTTTCGTTCTTTCACACAAGTTGTTGAGCAAAATAAAGGACAACTTCTGACTATAATAGCTAGTAAGTTGTTTAGTGTAGTTGTTAACAGCAGAAGGTGTGTTAACCACAACTGGCACGTGCTTAAATACATGCTTTTACCTGAAGATTACGACCTGATACATAGATGGAAGTCAGAGGCTGACTGTGAGGGAAAAAACAAAGGCACTGTTGGCCTGTTAGTTAGCAGGCCTGGAGTGTTGAACGTTCTTGAATGTCCCACGCAGCACAACTGACTTGAGATTTCCCATACTTTCTTTATAGCTTGCCTATTTGCTTCTAGCTGGTATCTGAGTCTACACAAGCTTCATATGTGGCATGTGGTTCTTTTGCTCAAGAGTGACAAGCAGTTGGGAAAGCCTAATAATGACTATTCAAACAAATTTCTGAGTGCAACATTACCTGATCAGTTTGTTTTGTTATTCTGCTATTTTTTTTTTCTCATTGAGATATCTGCACCTATATGGAGCAAAATAAGAAAAAGTGAAGGCTGTGATTGCTGGGTCTTTTTATTTTCGCAGATCAGTTCAGTGCATAAATCACTTTAGTGGTCATTTTGATGTGTTTTGGATGTTAGGCTGACTTAAAAACAACAAAACATATTAATATTGGGTCTAAATATGTGGAAGAATATGTAGACAAGAATATAGGCAAGAATATCATTTTCAGCTAGTAAGGTGATTTCCTTAGAATATTACCTGAACTGTCTAATTCAATAATTGCATGTGTTTGCATCCATGTTTGTCAAGCTTTGTGTTATATTCTGAGACGCTGAATCTCGCAGATGGCTCCTCTCTGCTGAGTGCTTTATTATAGCAGTGACAAGTATTCATGTCAGCGTGGAAACTTGAATAGCTTTGAGTTACCACTGTCTACTCCATCCCTGAAGCTCGTGTCAGTAATATAATAATATATAATGGTACCAGTTTTGCTGGGGTGGTGTTAGCTTACAAAAGTGTTTTTATTTGCATCCTCAGAAAAATATTTTGATATGAAGAAGAACCAGTGTAAAGAAGGCTTGGATATGTACAAGAAATTCCTATCCAGAATGACTAAATTGTCAGAATTCCTCAAAGTAGCAGAGGTAAATAATTTGATGCCTATGAAAAGATGAATTCCAAGCTACTGTACTACAACAGCAGTCTGTATTCATAATTTTGTAACGTCACCTTTGCTGTACAGAGAGCAATTCCCCAGATAGTGCATTTTAAACTGCAGTTACTCTGAGTAATGTGAAGTGAGATTGTCAGGCATCTTTTTCATTAGCCAAACAATGTAGTAACAGCTTTCTGAAGTGCTGTTATAAATTTGATGAATGGTCCAGAATGAACTGTTAGTGTATTTACACTGCTGTTCTTTGCTGTAACTGCTCAAAGTGGAGAAGTAGTTCCAGTAAGCAATGCAGATATTTCTAATGCTCCCAAGTAGATTTTCTGTATGGAAAAAATGGCTGGATAAAGGCTTGGCTTTGCTTTTAGATGCAAAGAAACGTGCTTCAGATTTCTGAGACGTGTTTTTCACTGAACTCATACTAATTCAGAAGGTGATTAATGCTCATTTTAGTCTGTTAGCTTCTATAAAACATTCAGACCTCAGTTTTTATTTCATTGCCACTGTGTAAAGCATAACATACTTTATTTTTTTCCTCTTTTGTAAACCCAGCAAGTTGGAATCGATCAGGGGGACATTCCAGATCTTACTCAGGTCAGTGTACGTATCGTGCTGATATCATTCAGTTATTGTTGTCTTCCACATTTCTTATGACTGGTATGTAACATAACAATCATCTTGGATGTATTCTATTCCATACACCTATACAGGAAATGCAGGTGTGCACTTTTCCCTTGGATCGTGTGTCCTTGGTGCTTACCTTTGCAGCTGTTATTTTTGGATTGTTTAAAGTGATAAAGGTGTTGCTTGGTTTTGTTTTTTTTTTTTTTTGGAAGTTCTGCTTTTTGTCTCATGACAAAGGATTAATTGGCTTATAAGGCACAGGCATCTTGCCACATGTACACATCTCTCATACTTGCTCCTAGCAACTCATGTTTCCCTTGCAAAGAACTTGACGCCCTTTGCAGTAGGAAAAAAAAAAAAGTGACAGTAGCCAGCAGAGCGAGGGCAAGAAATGAATGAACACAGCAGTGTGATGTTTTGTGATGTTTGATCTTAGCAGCTTACCTCTGATGAGTACAGTATGTGCAGCTGGCCTGTGTTCCCTAATGAGAACACACTGAAGTGTGAGGTGATACTTCAGAGATGACAGGGGCTTGCGTGCTGGGTTGCGCTCACTTGCACATTAACCAAGGAGTTACAGAAGTCTTCAAATCATGGGGCTTTTTTCTGATTTACTGAGGACAGGAAATTTAATTTTGGTCTTTATTTCTAAAATTTTTATGAGCTCAACTTTTCACAGTTACAGCTGGAACACTTTTTTTTTCTTAATAGCTCAGTTATTTTATTGCAAGCACAATTCTTAGGCAGCTCTCTGAAATGTGGTGGTGGGTATCAGCATCTTGTGTATTTTGGCAACTTCAGTGCCATCGTCAGTGAATCAGTCCAATTCCACTCCGTACTAAATTTCATGACATTTAATTAGGTTGAGTAATTCTACATCAGCCTTGTGCCAACTCAAAACAATTCCCTGACATTTCTTAGTTTTGGACTTTGAAAAAAAACATCAATTTTTGCTGTGTTTGCAGCACCAGCGAGTTCAGACAGGATGATGGATGACAGCTTGTAATGATAGCCTTTTGTTCATAGTCTGGTCACTCATTTACCTGTTTGTTTGTTCTAAATACTTAGATTTCTTGTGTGGATGTCCATATTTTGGTGTCTAAGCTGTTCCTGAGAGCAATGAATTTCTCTTGAGAAATTTTTACTACTGCTGCTGTGTAACTTTTTGTTTCCTTCCTTGATTCTGATTCCATTTCTGCCAATTTATGTAAAGAGAAAATCACTGTCCTTAGTAGATGTCCTGTTTCATTATGTTGTTGCTTCCTTTCTGTTTGTAGCTGGGACTGTATTCTTTATAAATGCAACTCAGTCTCTTACCTCTGTTTGGATGTCAGTCTGACATGGCTTTGGTTAAGGGAGGTGAGTCTGAGTCAGGAAAAGCAGACTTATTCAGGTCATAATACCTATTTTAGCTCCAGCATCTTTTCTGCCATAACACTAAGTTCTGTTTGCTCAAATAAATTCAAAAACAAAACAAAACCTGTGTTGAATATCTGCAACAATGAGCAAGTGTGTAGAAAGGTACTGTTTTGTTACTGTGCAGATTTTATGGTTGAGGAGAGGGATGAGTTAGAGAGTTCAAAAAACAAACAAAGCAGAAAAGGTATAGAATGTATTTTTCCATGCAGGTAGGTTTTAGCACGTTGTTGCTGTGTTCTCAGACATCTTTGGGAGTTCCTTACGTTATGTTTGCATTTCCTAAGCTTTCACCATGTGTTTAGTGTGACGTTCTAATGCCTGGCTTTCTGCTGGATTTAAATGGAGTTAAGTCTGCTTTTAGAATTTTTTATATCAAAGAAGAGCATTGAGAGTTTGCTGTCTTCTCCTAGGTGACGCTGTTCTGGGGGGGAGGAATGGAGGGGAGAGTTTCTGCAGCTTAATTTGAAGTGATCTTTCACTCTAGTTTCTTATGTTTTGTATGCCAAGGATTTGGGTGAAATTGGGTTGGGTTATTGTATCATCTTGTGCCGAATAGATGCTTCTGCCTGAGACTGTATTGTTGGGATAAGGCTGAATTTGATTGCTTTTTTGTAATCGAACTTCACTCCCTGTTGTCAAGTGTTCCTGATGGGAGCCAAGAACCACAGCTGGGTAGGTAGAACACAGTTGTGCAGGATGAATGACATCAAGGTGCTGTCACTGAAGTGGTCATATTGGTTCTTAGTTGATGGGAAAACTCATCTGTGTACTAAACAAGAAGTCCTTGTCTAAAAGTAGAGCTTCACAAATACTCTAATTTCAGGCACCCAGCAGCTTGCTTGAAGCACTGGAGCAGCATTTGGCTTCTCTGGAGGGAAAGAAAACAAAAGAAGTCTCTGCTGCCAGCAGGTGAGCACCAAATGAATGGCACCTGTGCCTCTACTTAAGATTTGTTGTCATCATCCTAAGAAGTTTTGGGATTCAGTCATTGAGGTTCTCCTCTTGAATTTTATTGGCTTCCAGCTCTATCTTCCCAGACGGTATAAATGTTGTATCTGGTGAGTAATAGTCTGAGAGCTCCACTGCACTTGCTCCTTAGATGTGTGCTTTTGTCTGACAAGTATCTTGCTGTATTGTAATAAACCACTGAGCTGAGACGTTGTGTATTATTCCTTGCACTTTTTTCTTTGTTTGAATCCTCTGGCTCATAAGACTTGTATGGTATTTGGAGTTCAAGGCTTTCTGCTGTTAGGCTGGTGTTCGTCTTCGTTGCCAGTTATTTACTTCTTCAGTCATGAATGCCTTAAGCTGCCTATGAAAGTTCTTCAGTCTCAGAGCTGCCAAATGAGCTTTGATACTTTGTGCTGACAGGAATTATTTCTGTCAGGAGAAGAGGGAGAGTACTGGTGTGTATGAATGTGTTTTGATTGAAGGGCAAAAAGATTTGGTTTGGGCGTACACCAATATATGCATACATCTAAGGGGAACCCCCTTAAATATGTGGGCAGACTCTGATAAAGGAAGGTATCAGTGTAAAATGCATTCCTGAGTAGCTGTCTTATGCCTCAGATTTCTTTTTCTTTTTTTTTTTTTTAAAGTATCTGATGATTTTCCATGGCAGTATTCCACTAAAGTGTGCAGTATTGGGAATAACTTTGGTGTGTTGCTTCTTGCTCTGTCCTACTGTGGTGCCACCCCCCCCGCCCCCCATGCAAGCTTTCTGTGCCTCTGCCACTTCAGTGGAGCAGAACTGAAGTCTAATCAACATGATGCTAATATGAATAGAAAACTGGTGTGTTCACTACTTGAGAGTTCCTACCACAGAAACCTGGGGAGTAATCCTGTGTGTTCCTGTCACATGTGTGGCACGTGATGAGGCTGGGTAGGTGAGGGTTGTGGTTGGACTTGATGATGTTGAAGGTCTTCTCCATCTTCAATAATGCTATTATTCTGTACCAAAGAGCAAGGTAAGAGGAGGCTGCGGTGGCAGGGGAGTAGCACAACACTTAATGCTTAAACTGTGAGATCTGTGCCTGGCTGATTTTGGTTAATAAAAACTTCCTGCTGTTTTTTAGGGCTAGTGCTCTGTCCTGTGCTGTTTCCACGCTTGCCAACACTGGGATGTCATTGAGCAGGATGGATGAGAAAGAGAAGCAGCAGGCGTTGGAGGAGGAACAAGCTAGACTGCAAGCTCTTAAGGTATTCTGTATATGCACATGTCTGTATATGTATACACGTATAATCTTAGTGTCCCTTGCTACTCACTGTTGAGCTGCTTCACCAGAAAATCTTGGCTGGTATTGTGATGCAGCTGTTTTGGTTGGTTATTTTGTGATATTTTTTTTTTCTTTTCCTTTGGGAGTTCTATCAGATGTCTCCCCTGCGCTGTTTCTGTTATAACAGAAGTTGTAGCTGCTGTCACTGACAAGTTAAATGGATTAGTAGGAAACGCATTTGGGTTGGGTGAGAAACTTACAAACTGACTGAATTTCTTTTACTTGAGGAATGTGCTAGGAAACTGTGATTTGACACGTGTGTAAATGCAGTGAGCTGTAACCAGGGGATGTGCGATCCAGCTGTAACCGAGGGATGTGACCTAAAACTAATTGTATAAAAAAGACGAGTAACACCTCATAGGTAGGTGTTCAGACACACGTCAGTTTGGGTTTCTGGTGATTTGATTTGGGCTATAAGGGATCCTGGCAGCAGAGAAATGCATCTTTTGGAAGGGAGGGAGCCTCATATACGTTGCTCTAGATGCCAAGGTGAGACTTGAGGCTTTGTAAAGCCTTTTGTGGCTACGTTAAAACAAACCTGAAATCAGCTTTCTGTTTCCTTGACTTTGTGGAAAAGATGACTTTGAGTCTTTTTTTTTTTTTTTTTTTTTAATTTAAGGAACATAGTTGAACTATTTTTTTTGAAAGGGTCTGAAGGGCGAACAAAGTAATAACACTGAACTCCAAACTGTATATTTGGACTTTCAGGAGCAGCGATTAAGAGAGATTTCTGTAGTATCAAATTCTACTTCCACATCAGCATCCCCAAGCACCTTATCAGGAAAAAGTGTGAATACCACTGCAGCTGTTGACCTCTTTTCAGTATCGGCACCCACAACAAATAGGTGAGAGAGATTCTGTTTTCTGAAGTAAGCCTGAATGCTGGGCTGGTCTGGCAGCTCACAATTTTAAGTACTTCTTGAGAGTAACTTCTTACTTTCTTGGAGCATTGATGGGGTTTTTGGTATTATTTGCTAAGAAATACTTTAAAAGAAAATATATTGTTTTGTACTGTTATTTGTGGCTAGCTCCTGGTGAACAAGAAACAACTGAGATATCAGCGTGAATTTGTGTGTAACTCAAGAATGCAATACATATTGTGTCTCTTTCTTTCTTTTCAGCATGCCCAACCTTTCCAGTGATCTTTTTGATCTTCAGCCTGTGTTTGTTCCAACTGTACAGGGTACTGCAGCTACAGCAACGTCAGCAGGCAGTGCTTGGGGAGGTAAGCTTATTTAGTTTGACTGGGTGATTACTTTGGTTTGATGGGTGATTCCTTAGAATATAGGAATAACTCCAATGAGTTCATAGTTGAATTGAGTTCACAGTGAAATAATTGGGGTTTAGGAGACAGAATTTTTCGCGTCCGGATATCTTGGAGCCTGTCAGAGTACAGAGCAGCTAATCTGAAAGTTCTGAAAATTTTTAAATTGTAACTGCAGACCTAATTTTTAGAGTACTTTCTTCCATCTTCTCCCTTATTCTGATCTTTGTTTGGTTGTTTTTTTTTTCCACCAAGATGACTTCAGTGGTCATAAACGTACCTGTACTTCTGTGCATCATCCTCTGACAAACCACAAAGCAGTCTTTGTATTTTGGGTGCAATTTCTGAGGGAAAGAATAAAAACTGCCAACCAACACTTTCTATGGTGTAGGTACTGAACCTGTGTCCCCAGCAAAGGCCATGCCTGCAGCCTGCCCAGAATAACAACTGTGAATTCATTGTTGAAATGAGTTGACTGTTTCTTGGGCACAGCACTCATAGCCCTGCTTGTTCTAAAGATTTGTCAGGAGAGATGTCAAATGCCTTAAACACTGAAACAAGGAAGTGGGGGGTTCGTATTTCAATAGGCAGAATCGATGCTTAGTAGTTCCATATTAAAGTGCTAGATTTATGAAGCCAAAGATGTAATAGCTGCTTTTTTTTCTTAGTAGGTAACTGTCCTTTTCCCCTCCCCTCCCTGTGGCAATAATGAAATTATTTTCCCTAAATGAAGAAGGAGGTGAATGATTTTATCCAAAAGTCAGAATTCCTATCTCTTAACAGGCCACTGTGTGGCAGGTCTACAGTTTGGCTTTGTTTAGAACATCTCACATGCAGTCATCTGTCCTGTCGTTCTTCCCTGTCTGTGTACTCTGTATTCTTTCCTTTACTTCTGCATCTGCAAGGTCCTTTCTCGTCCTCAAATGGTTGTGTTGAGTCTCCACCTCATCTGGACATCTTTGACATGAAGCCAGTTGAAGAAGCTGTAAAATCTACTGCCCCTTTCATCAGTGCTAGCTTGTCTTCCAGACACACAGTGGAACTATTTAGTGGTAAAAATCAAAACCAAAGCATCTCATTTCTTTGCAAGTGGAGATAATGCTACTAGTAAACTGGGTGGTGCTGTCTTTGTGTTGTTGGGACCAATCTGCTCTTAACACATGAAAGTGGTGCATTAGTTCCAGTAGTAAATGTGGTTCCTTAAACATGTATTTCTCAAGTTCAGTTTCCCCAACCTAGACCATTGAAAACTGTCTTTTAGCTGAAAATTTTGTTGACTTTGCAAACTGCAACTTGGTTTTACTTTTGTAGTGGGGAGGGCAAGTTACTTTCACTGCTGGAACTTGCCAGCAGTTCTTAAATTTTAACTGCAGACCTAAAGTTTAGAGCACTTTCTTCCATTTTCTCTCTTAAGCTGATCTTTGCTTTGTTTTTTCTTTTTGCCAAGATGACTTCAGTGGCCGTAAACCTACCTATACCTCTGTGTATCATCCTCTGTCTGTTGATGGTAATTTGATCTCTTTATTTTTTTGACTTTGTTTTTGATGAAAAGAGTGGTGTTATTTCATGGGTGTACGTGATTTCCCTGTATTATTATTATTATTATTATTATTTTTTTTTTTTTTTAGGTTTCCCTCTTCATTCAGCTCCTCCAAGTGCCACCCCTTCAGCAATCAATGTTGACTTTGATGCTGTTTTTGGAGGAAAATCTACAGCACCGCAGTACAGGACTGCAAGTGGTAAAAACTGTCTTACAATTAGTTTGCACCCTGCAGGCACACAGAATTACAGGATGGCCCAGGTTGGAAGGGACCTCAAGGATCATGAATCTCCAACCCCCCTGCCACAGGCAGGGCCACCAACCTCCACATTTAATACTAGACTAGTTTGCCCAGGGCCCCGTCCAATCTGGCCTTTGAACACCTTTAGGGACGGGGCATCCACAGCCTCTCTGGGCAGCTGTTCCAGCACCTCACCACTCTCTCTGTAAAGAACTTCCCCCTGACATCCAGCCTAAATCTCCCCTCCCTCAACTTCAAACCATTTCCCCTTGTCCTGCAGTTATCTACTCTTTCAAAGAGGATGATTCCCTTCTTGTTTGTAGGCTCCCTTAAAGGCTGCAATGAGGTCACCCCACAGCCTTCTTTTCTCTAGGCTGAACAAGCCCAGCTCCCTCAGCCTGTCCTTGTAGGGGAGGTCCTCCAGTCCCCTGATCATCTTTGTGGCTCTCCTCTGGACCCTTTCCAACAGCTCTCTGTCTTTCCTGTTCTGGGGCTCCAGACCTGGACACGGGGCTCCAGATGGGGCCTCACAAGAGCAGAGTAGGGAGGGACAAAATCACCTCCCTGTCCCTGCTGGCCACTCGTCTTCTGATGCAGCCCGGGATCCCATTTGCTTTCCAAACTGCAATGCACACTGCTGACTCATGTTCAGTTTTTCATCCATCAGGACTCCCAGGTCCTTCTTTGCAGGGCTGCTCTCAAGGAGCTCCTTCCAGTCTATATAAATGCCTGGAATTCCTCCGGCCCAAGTGCAAAATCTTCAACATTGCTGTGTTGAACCTCCTTAGGTTCACCCAGGCCTACCCTTCAAATCTGTTAGTAGAATTGCTCTTATGGTGTGGAAGTTAATAACTTAATGACTTAATACATTTGTAAGTTGATAACAAGCCATCGGTTTAATTAGTTATTTAAATTTAGCTCTGACTTGTTTCCTTCTGCCTACTGATTGTTTCCTCTTTCTTTTTTGGGGGGACAAACGTTGGCCCCATGGATGTCTCTTAATGGGTAAGCTTACATTAATCTGTTTCAGTGCTCCTGACTTCGATGTTAATATTATTAACGTGTGACAGTGAGTTCCCTTGAGCTTCACTGGGAGGCATTGCACCTAAAAGAATGCAAGAGTAGTTGTGGGTATGCTTTGCTTTTGGAATAACTTAAGTTCTGATCTCTTCTCTTGGGGCTGTTTTCTCTTGAAGTCCTTATAAACAGGTAGGAACTCTTGTGAACGTTCCAGATGCCAGCAGTACCATGAAATTACTGCTGGCGGTTCCAAGAATGCCTTGAAACTGTCTTGGATGACTTTGTTCTTGAGGTTCTTTTAGGGGGGTTTGCTTAATTTAGAAATTCTGTCAGTTACTGCTGAAGCATAACTGAAGACTTTACCAGATAGGCAAACAGCATTCCTTAAGAAATGAAAGTGAAATAATGCTTCTGCTTACCCCTTAGTGCTTCCAGCATGTTTTGCCTCGGTATGTAAGAAATACTTAATGTTGCTTAGGGTTCTCTGCCTCTCTAGCTTAGGACAGACTATTTATTAAGTTCAGTGTCACCTTTGTTAAGAGCTGGTTTTTTGTTCTTTTTTTTAGCTATTAAATATCTAGATGATGTTTTGCAACCCACAGTACCACCACCAAGTCAAAGAGCCACCTCAGCCAACCAGCCAAGTGGAAAAATTCTGGCAAATGACCTTGATTCTTCTCTCGCTAATCTAGTGGGAAGTAAGCATGAAGCTTTTCACTTGTTTTTAGTAACAAAATCAAACAAGCAAATGATTTTTCTTCTCAAAAGTAAAATAAATAGATAAATAAAAATACCTGGGACTTACATATCTATGTTTTTCCCACCTTCCCAGGTCTTGGCTTTGGAGGAACTCCATCCAAAAAGTAAGTGTGTCTGTCTATTTAGGATACTCCTACATGACTCCTTAGTAGACGGTAGCACAGTTTCACAGCACTGACATTGATGACAACAGTCTCAGTTCAGAGTAATCTGCTACCAAGAATAGTGTTGGAAGAGTGAGTCTGTAGTCAGTCACTGTAACAATCGGCCTTAACATTTGAGTTAATTTCATCTTGTAGCTGCTGTGCTTGGAAGTGTTTTTGAGTCACTACAAAAGATCTTGTGGTTAAGTCAAATTCTTGTGAGCTATTACACCGTATGGTGAAATGGCAGGGAGCTTTTAACCCAAAACAGAACCCTTGGACTTCCTACTTGCTGCAGCAGAGAAATGTAAGGAGAGAATTAAATCCTTTAGTTTTTTTTACTACCCATAGATTTCAAATGCCTGCCTGACTTAAGATGTGTTTTCCTGTGTTCTATGACATCGTTGTTCTTGTTGTTCTCTCTGGCTCTGTCTGAAAACTAATACCACAGTGTCCTTTCAGGTCTGATATGCAGTGGACCCAGCCTGCAGAGAAAAAACTTACTGGTGGAACAAACTGGCAAGCAAAAACGAGCACATCGACCACATGGAACCCTACTCCCTTACCCACGCTGCCACATATGGTAACTGCTGTACTGCTGGAATTGCTCTTTGTTCCAGGAAATGTTTCTGCACTGCATGAATCAATTGGAAAATAGTAGCAAAACCTGCCTGGGACAAGAGTGGGGGGCAAAACTGCACGCAGGGCCACTTCCCAAACTCAAGAAAGTGTGTTGCAGTGTATTTCTTTCCCTCTCCCTGTTAAAGACTTTGGAGGAGGGTTGGGAATCCTCGCACTTGAGACCTTGAACCGTTTGTGAGTTCTTTATGAGCTGAGTTGATCTCAGCAACGTCAGGGTACGATTGAGAGACTCGAGCACATACACATGCACCTTTTAAGAATCCAAAGAACTTGTTTCAGGAGTAGAAGAAAAACAGTATTACTTCTGGTTTGTGCTGCGTTTTAGTTGTATTATATGAAATGATATTGCACCCCTGCAGGGCAACTTAATTATTGTTTCAAGCAGCACTTCAGGCTTGTAATCATGCTTAACAGCGGTGTCATCACTTTTCCAACACAACACACAAAATACAGAGTCACCCAACACAAAACAACTCTAAAGGAGTTGCTTCTGTGAAGGACTTCCACTTCTTGGAGGGCTGTCTGTAGGCAGCTAGCTTTTCCCATGCTTTTCAGTCACTTGCCAGGTGTCTTCCATTCCGCTGTATTCATACAAGTGCAAACTTCTTTTGAAATATAGTATATATAGAAATATAGCCTTGGAGGGAAATAAATTGTTCCTCCCAGTTGCTTATAACTACAGTAGTTGCAGAACTTACAATGAGTTTCAGACAGCCATCTGATTTAGTGCTTCCAATTGGAGTAGATTTGCCTGTGATGCCTTTTTCCTTCAGCTTATACAAGTATGCTCACTGAAAATTTAAGCAGCTTAATAGACAGCACTGGACTGAAATGAAACCCAAATGTTCTAGTTAGAGGATTGCAGTTCTTACCATCTCAGAAGTCTCATGTGCCACATCTTTTCATCCTTTCTTCACATTTCTGGAACATCTCATGTTAAAAGTGCCTGTTGTGTTTCTGTTTTTGAAAGAAGGATGAAACCTCAGTTGATGTGGCTCACTGTGGGTTTCAGTTGATTTTTTGTTTTGTTTTGCATTGTCACATGAGATACTTTTCTGAGATGGTTGAGTGCCCTGTGCCAGGCATCTCCTCACCCATTGGCTTGGAATTCCAACCATTCCCGGTGCAAAGAACTAACTCAGCTATGAGCAGCTTTAAAATCAGTGCCCAAGTACTGGAGAGGTCCAGGCATTGCAGCTTGGCCTGTGGCGCTCATAGTAACTCAAATTAACGCGTAGTGTTCGTACTCCTTCATAAAACACCACCCAGCATTCCCTTAGTAAGATCATTACCTCTACCAGTTGAGACAGAGCATTATGAAGGGCACACATCACCATGTCTACGTACATAACCTCATAAAACTGACTGCCAGCTTGAGATGCTTGTCATTTTTTTTATCAAATATTTTGCAGTGTGTTGCTGATGTCAGAAATGTGGTATGCGAGCAGCACCTGGCTGCAGTATATTAAAATCTGGCTGAACATAATAAGTTTTACCTTTGCTGGAGATCTCGTCAGGGAAAGTAGGATGCTACTGATGGTATACTGCCCTCGAGCTTCCTCATCCCCATCTTAAATTAGTGGGTTGAGCATAGGTAGTTGCAGTATTAGATTGGAATCTGTTTCCCTTGGTTACAATATCCAATCTGAATACCTCCTTTTCTGTCCTTACTCCTTTTGCTGTGCCAGAACAGAGTACATTATCCTGGACATGTAAGTCACTTTCTTGTGAATGCTGGTTGTAGTAATTACTTGAAAAATGTTTTGTATGCCTGACTAGTAGGCGTGAACTTATCTAATATACAATTTAATTGATATATATCTAAAACTTATCTAATATATGCAATTTTCTTGATTGAAGGTGCCTGCTCCAGTTGCATACCAAGTGACTACGCCTCAAGTGCCTGTCTATGGAATGGTAAGAATTGTGACAGTCTCCTGTCCCTGAAAACCTGAGTGTCTGCTGGGTTTGTGGCAAAAGTTATTCCTCAAACAGCACTGTGACTTGCATATAACTTCATCAAGTTAATAATACGTGAAAGCAGATGGTTTTGTCACCACACACCTGCAAGAGGTGGTATTAAATCTTAGACAGGAAGATTTTTTTAAAAGCTCTACTATGTGTGTCTGCATCTCCCTGCTTATTTTCTACTATGTTTACAATGCAAAAAGATACCACTTCTAGAACCAGTTTTAATTTTCGTGTAACTGGTTTATGGGTTTGTTGCTTTCTGTCTCCCAGCAGGTCCCTTCTCAGATGGGAGCTGCTCCTTTGATGGCACCCCAGTCAGTGATATATACGCAGCCTGGTCTAAGGCCGACAAATCCTTTTGCACCTGTTTCTGGAACACAGGTAAACTGTTCTTTTTAAAAGAAAGGCCACACTGCAACTGGAGTCTGAGTGAAAGCAACCCAGTGTTCCTTGATGTATTTCTGCATCTGAAAGCAAGGGGTTCTTCAGTCAGAAGTGTCAGCTTTTTTTGGTCAGAAAGCAAACTCAGCGGGTGAAAGCATGCAAGTGTGGGAAGGAAAGTAAAATTCAGAAACGTTGTGGTTAGCTTTTCACCATGTCAGTATTAGGAAAAGGGGAATGGCATTGGCATGTAAACTTCCTCGGATGTTAGCTGGATACTTGGGTTTGCCTTACTGGGTAGAGGAATGAGGAAAGCTCTCTGAAGGCCTATGTGGTGGGGTGGTAAAAAAAGGATGGACGAGCGATTGTTCAAGCTGAAGGAATTGTCATTCAAATATGTTGGTCTCAATGTTCTTCAGGACAAAACCCAGCTTGGAGGTAACTGGGCATGTGAACAGATGTAGAATTCTGAACCTGTGAGTAACCACGTGCTATGTAAGCAGCATTAACACGTAATCCCTGTTTTACAGATACAGTTCATGTAGAGCCGCCAAAGCTGCGAGATGTGAGAAGAACCAAATACTGGTAAAATGAAAGAAGGAAATCTTTCTGTGATTTCTGGATTCCTGAACAGGGTGACTATTTCTCCCCTGTGCGACATAATGTTGTTTTGAATTGCCGTGCTTTAGGGATTCTTGTTTATAACAGTCACTGCTGTGTGAGATGGTCACCAATTTCAAGATTGCTTGGCAGGAAACTGTTCTCAGAGGCTGAAGGTTGACTTGGAAGGCACAAACTGGATTCTTCTCTTCAGAGCTGAGGGGGTTACACAATTGCTTTGCAACCTGGTTCTTCAGTGAATTGTGTTAAAAAATGAATGGAAAACGTTAACTCTTTATTCTCTCCGTAAATGAGGTGGCTGTTGTAACCAAGACGCAACTCAAAGCTGAGCAATAGCTTTTTTGTACACTTAAAGAAATACTCTGATAGAGTAATATTTGTGTTATCCTAATGCCAATATTGTGTGAAATCAGACAGCTCTGACATCAGAATAGCTGAGGGTAATCTACAGCCTTTATAATGTGAGTTTTAAATGCTGTGAATCAACAAGATCTCTACGTATTCAGAAATGCAGAGAGTCAAATAAGTGATTGCACCACTGGGACGGCAGTGTTACACAGCTGGTTGAAATCACAGCTAGTTGAAAGAGCCTGGCTCTGGCAAGGGCTGCCGTAGGGTAGGGGATACAAGTGTGTCACAACAGCACGGACAGCCTCCAACAGGTGACAGCAGGCGCACTTTCACTGAGTGTCTTCTCCACAAAGGGCATCTTTCACAGCTGAAGGGAGAGTAGATCCTGTTACAGTGAACGTAGATCCCCCAAGCAGCAGCAGACGAGAGCAGCTCAGAGCTCTGGTTGCTAGCTACAGAAGAGGTAAGCTATCCAATTTGAAAGGGCGATGGGAGAAGACGTCCACTAAAAAACCCTTTCCTTTGAGCTTACAGACTTTTTAGAAAGCAAGCTTTGCCATAATGCTGGTGTTTCAGAACTGGCAGTTTTACAGAAATAGTCTTGCTCTGGTGAAGTGCTTGTGCTCCTTTTCTGAAACAAGAATCTACTTGCAACCAGAATAAAAGGAATGATTTTTAAATATGTAAATATGTGCAAACTTGTAAATAAGGTTTTCTTTCATGCTGCGGTAATCTTTTCCTTCCGTAGTATTTTCAAGACAAAAATGCTTTCTTAAGAAATAGAGGCTTGAGAGGAATACCTTGTATGTGAAATAATTCCTGACGTGTGCTGTTGCTGGTGAGGCAGTTGTCTGTGCTTCTGGCACATCCTGCATATTTAAGTCTTTCTCCAAAGTTTAGGTGGGCTATGAAAATGCTGCTTTGTATTTTTTTGTTGTCCGATGCAAAGTGATAGCATATTGCAAAAAGGGGGGAGGGAAATGGGCGAGTAATGGGTGAACGGAACAGGGAGCAGAATGCAGGGAAAACCTCTCCTGCCAATTGTAATGCTACCAGTGATAAATGTGAAAGGTGGGTTTTCAAAACAACATCAGTCTTCTGCTTCTATACCCTAAGTGGGCCTTGAGAGTACAGTGCTGTTAATCTGGGTGTAATTGACAACAGAACTGCAGAAATCTGACCTGCTATAAATGCAGATAGGCCTGGAAGTCCTGTCAGTCTGTCCTTTCCAGAAGAACTTGGAAGAGCAACGCTTTTCACATTGCAGAGACAAGCTTTCTTTTTGAATGCTTCATTATGTTCCAGGAGCGTGGAAGAAATGCTACAGAAACACACTTGTTAAGTGAAACAGTTAAAAAATAATTAAATGAAAACAACGGCGGAAGAGGAAAGCACAACAGCCCAGCTTACTGGCAGATGTAACCTGGTATGCTGCAGTTCCACGCCTGTTTGAACTACAGAAGAGCTTTCCTCCAGCTCTCTTGGGCTGAACAGTGGCACAGTTTAAAGGCAGTGAGTTCTGCGATGCCTGTAGTTGCCCCCTGGGTGATGAGGAACAGATGCCACTGAGAAGGGATCACTGTGCTGAGGAGGCTGTTTTTTTAGGAGACAGGTACTTCCTTGGATATATCCAGCATGGAACAGTCTTGAGTTCAGAGTCGCAGCGTTTCTAGTAAGAAATGATGGAGCTGCGAGTGCTGCAGCCAGGCAGTTTCCAGCACCAGGAACTGTGAGGTCTCCTCTGATACGGCGTTGCTGAAGTAAAGATCTGTTCCATTATTCAAATCTGCAAATAAATATCTGCCTAACAGTATGTTTGTCTAAAACTGAAACAGTTGCAGAGCATTTGGAATATCCAGAATGGACAGACTTTGCTGCAAAAGGAGGTACTAATGAGACCAGCCAGCAGTTGTAGTGCTGCTCCGCGTTGTGATTTACTCTGCGTTTCTTTAGTGTCCTTGTAGCAAAGCAATGTGAGAGCAGCTTCCTATTGGAAAAGGGGAGATGGCCGCACAGTGCCCCCTGCAGACCTGCGAAGCTCCGCTTTTAGTCTCGTTTGCAATGCTGGGCAAGTGAGAACCGTTAGCTCAGCTTTATCCTTGGGAGGAGGAGATGGCGGGCACAAGTGGTGGGGGCAGTTCTGCGGAGTGAAACTGGGACGAGAGATGGAGATAAATGTCACTTTCCCTTTTGTCTTCCAACTCCTTTGCTCAGAATCCTGCTCTGAATGCTTGTTATCTGCGATGTCACTCCACGTGTGGCAGAACAGGAGGAAGACTTTGCAGTATGCTGTGTGCCTTGCGCCGCTGTACTTGAGCGGTTGGTTTGAGGCTGGCAGTTGGGACTCAGCAGTGCTGCAGGAGGGCTGTCTTCCATGGCGTGTACAGTAAGATGGCTGGGCTGCTGGGGAAGGTTGATGGCGTTAGGCCTCTTGGACTTGACAAGTGAACCTCTTTTTAAATAGCCACATTTTGTAATGCTCTTCAGGTCTAGTTCGACTTTGCCTCTACAAAGTGACAGGCTTTGACTTTTTTTGAATTCAGACAAATTATTTACTAAAGAAATCTAGGTTCTGTGCACATAGAGATGCAGTGAGTGTAGGGAAAAACTGCAAGCAGACATTGCTAATGGAGGAGGAAAAAACTAACAATAAAGCCCCCAACTACGAGATCGACTACAGGGTGTATCCACATCAGTTTTTTTCTGTGGCAGGGACGTGGGGGTGGGGGTGGGTTGCAATTTGAATAGTAAGCGCTGTGGATCGGTGCTTAATTTGTATATAAAAAGGAACACTTGTGTTTTGGGCAGTTTGTATTGTAAGGGCAACATTTAAAGGCACTGCGTCTCGGTCTTTTATTTCCATTTTAAAGATTATATTTTTGAGCAATGGAAACTGTACGTGTGATCATTTGTACACCTGCTGGCAGCTATGAAGAGAGAAGAGCGTGCTGTTACTCAGCAGATGCCTGATTTGTCATTGATATTTACATTAAAGGAACTGCTCAGTAAGGCGGTCTTTAAAGAGATGGCAGTAACCTCTGCAGTTACGAGAGTTGTGCCAGCAGGTCTTTGGTCTGTCTGAAACGTGCACCCTCACATCGCTCACACTTCATCCTTTCCCAAGCGTCTGTCCAGAATTTCTCTTTGGAGTAATGGAGCAGCAGGTGCTGGAATAGCTTCTTCCTCCTCACCTCCTCCACTGTTTACTTAGTAGGTCTTGTTTTCTATGTGATGTTTTTCCCCAGAACAGGTTTGTGCCTTTATTGGATATTTATTTAAAAGGACCTACTCTTATTTAGGCTGTTGAGGCTTTTCTCGGATGTTTTGTACAGCTGTTCCTGTACGTGAGTTGCTTCATTTTCTAAGGATATAAGGTGTGGGAAAACACCATCCACAAGCTGGAGGGGAAACTTATAGGAAAAGTACTGAGGGTTTGCATTCTATCAACTTCTTTTCTTCTTTAAGGAAAAAAAAAAATAAAAATGAAGCCAAAGCCCAAAGTTGGCTGTGGGCTCTGTTGATATTTTGACTGTGGGCCTTTACAACTTGTTAATTGTTTTGTTTTTCTTTGATTGCTGCTCATATCCAATCGTTAGAAATGTTTTGAAAAATAAACTTTGGAACACCTGAGGGGTGGGTGTGTGTGTGTGTGTGAGAGAGAGAGAGAGAGAAAAAGAGAGAGAGAGAGAGAGAAAGGCAGAGAGAAAGGCTGTTCCTTGAAAGCATTCTGAGGCAGGAGGGTTTCTGTGGTCCTCACGGCCCATGAGTTTCCTGCTTTTCTGCATTTGCATTGGATGTGGTGGTGTGCCTTACACAAGTCATCCTCATGGGGGGGGGCCAAATGTGGTGGATCTGAGAGCCTGCTCAGATTCAACGTGCCACCAACCACGACCCCGTGATCCCTTCTGCAGCACTCCTCTCCAGCCCCTTTTCCCCTGACCCGTACATAGAGCCAGGGCTGCCCCATCCCAGGGAGTCAATGCTTGTCCCAGCTCAGCATCGTGTGAGCACGCTGCTTTTTGATAGAATGTTTGTATCCTTATTGGAGTCATGTATGAAAACATTACAGAGAACTGGTTTGAACCAGGGCTGCAGAACTCCAGTAGTGGTACCAGGGGAACCTTGGGCCTATGGCCTCCACCCTCCCAATGGTCTGTTTTGGTCATCATGGGACATTCTTAGGGTCACCATGCCGCAGCTAGGGGATTTCACGAGCCTCCTCCCTCCTGGACCCCTGTCAATATGGGGACCCACAGCCCAGAACCTCTGCACAGTGAGACCTGTGCCTTTCCGGCCAGTCTTCTGCTGTCAGAAGGAGCAGCTTGTGACTTTCCTCCCTGTATGGGGTGAGCACTGTGGTGGAGGAGAGTGATTCCTTTTCCCCTGAAGAGGCATTGCCAGAGCCTGAACCCATGGAGGTCGACTGTGTGGAGAGCAACATCGAGCCTATAGAGGTGGGCCTACCTCCGGAGGAGGAACTGATGAGGTGGATCAGCCCCCAGTGGGACTGTGCAGGTGCTGTAAGACCATGCTTGCCTGTGGAAGTCGTGGGCTCTAGGAACAGTGCTCCAGGGGCTCTCGCTTTTCATCTGGGTGTAGAGGAGTCACTATCCACCTGAGAGCCCATGCTGCTGTTCCCTCTCACCGTTTCCTTCTCATCCCTCCCTTCTCATCCCTCGTTCTTTCCCAAGATCTCTCCCCTCTTTCTCAAGCTCAGAGGAGAAGGGAAAGACTGGCACTGGTGTCCTGAGCCAGGACAACAGGAGTGCAGCAGGCAGCTACAAGCAAGCTCCATGCGGCCTCAGAGTGAACCCTGAAAAAGAGGGTTGGACTGGGACTGGCATCCCCTGCAGAGCTGCTCTGGACAGCTGGAGGACAGCGAAGGGCCCAGTGCTCTCTGTGGCCTCCAGGCACTGCCTGAGAAGCTACAGAAGCGGCTGCTGCTTTGGGGAAGCGGAAGACCTCACATGGGATGCAATGATGAAAGGGCTGTTCAGGTGCTCCATCAGGACTCTGCTTCCAGGAAAGCAGGCCAGGAAAAGACGATGACCGAAGAATGCTGAACAATAAAATGGCAAATGCATGTCAAGCCAGTATGCATCTCCTCTCCTTTCTGGTACTTGAGGGTCTGCCCTGGGCCTCTGCTGTCTGCCCGCGGGGTGAGGCGCAGCCCGGGCCTCGGGGCTGGGCGGGGTCCGGGCAAACGGCGGCCCTGGGCAGGGTGCGGGCACGGCGGGGCGCAGTTCGGCACAGCTCCACACGAGGTGGCGGCTGGCGGTTTTTATTCTTGGAAATCGCACGCCGACCAGTGAGCGGCGTCCAGCCCCGCACTCCGCCAGGCGGAGCCCCTCGAATCGCAGAGCGCCCGCCGCTGCCGGAAACGCCGCCGCTGCTCGGCTCCTCCCGCACTCTTGGCTGGCAGCGTTCCTCCAGCAGGCGACGCTCTCGGCCGGCGGCCGCCCGGCGCCGCGCCCCGCCTCCCGTCGCTCCGAGGGCGGCGCTGACGCGCTGACGCTCGCCTGCAGCGTCTCGTCGCGGGCCGCGTGCGCGCGCGGCGTCGGTACTCCAAGATGGCGGCGGCCAGCGGCAGCGGGCCGGGCTGCGGCGAGGCGGCGGCGGGCGGCAAGCGGGGGCCGCTCGGCATCCCCGAGGCCGTCTTCGTGGTGAGCGGCGGAGGCGCGGGCGACGGCGGGGCTCGGCTCCGCGAGGCGGTCCCCTCGCCCCGGGGAGCGCGGGGGGCGGCGCGGCTCGGCCCCGGGCCCGCCCTGTGGGATGCGGGTCTCCGCGCCGCCCGGCCGGGTGGCCGCTCCGTGACGGCGGGCGCTGCGCCTCCTCGGCACGGCGGGTTGAGCCGCGCGGCCCCGAGCGGAGCGCGGGCGGGCGGCGGTCGCGAGCGCTGTCTGAAGGGGGCTGCTCGGCTCGGTACCCCGAGCGCTGTGCCGTGCGGGGCCGCGGCCTCGTGCCCGGAGCCGCCGCTCGGGGCGCTGCCTCCTTCGCCCTTTCTCGAAGTGGCGGTCGGGGTGCTTTCGCGCTCCGGCCAGAAGCGCTGTGCTCGTCTCGTCTCGCCAGCTTTTGCCCCCGAGCCGAGCTGTCGGAGGACCGGGGCGCCACGCGCGTGTCGGTGCGTGCGGCTCCTCCGCCGTCTGTCGGGCTGCACGGCTCCCTTCCTGGAGGGCGGCAGAGCCGCTGCTGGAGCAGGCTGCCCGACGGGCTGCGCGCTGCCTTTCTCTGCCCGTGTCCCAACCCTCTTGGCCTCCTTGCCGTGCGTCCTGCCCTAGGGAACCTGCTGTAGCGGGGTTTGGACTGGATGATGTCCAGAGGTCCCTTCCACCCGGCGCCATTCTGTGATACTGTGTGCTTCACGCGTCTACAGTTTCTTGGGTGCTTTGCAGCCCGGGCTGTGCCTTCACTCCGTGCCTCTTTGCAGCCTTATGAACTGGCATCCCAGTCCTTGTCTCTGAGAGATGCTCACATCAGATCCGGAATGGTCTCTGCAGTGGCGATGTTTGAGCACATACACATTAGGGGACATTCAACTTTATCCAAAGGAAGCACGCGTTAAGAAGCATTTAGTGCTGTCTTTTTGCTCAAAGTGGCAAAATAGTTATGAGGGTATGGGTTTTATTAATGATTTGTTTGGGGTTTTTTTCTTCGGAAAATAGGCTTCAGTGACAGAACTGTGCTGTTGCAGTAAAGACCTGCTCTAAAGTGTGACTCACTTGTTCCCCCTCCTCCTATGCTGCCTGGGCAGCGTTACTTTTGAAGAATGTTTCATGAATCACCTCGGTTTGGAGGGAATTTTTCAGTGCCTTTTTGGCACACACCGCTTCATAGGCATGGATAAAGGCCAAGCTGCTCTGTGGTCTTTCATGGCTCCCCAAACACCGCGTGGCACGTAGCTAACCTGGCTTTCCCTGGAGTTGAACAACACACTCAGGGCTGCTTTTTGTTCCCTAGTGATCTACACAAGCAGAACTGCTTCCACAAGAGGGAGTTTTGTGTCAGAGCATCTCCAGTCTGGTTTTCACAATGCTCGGTCTTGTCTTTGTCTTTTCAGCCTGCACTTTGCTGCAGGCTCTGTCAGGAGCACTGTGCAGGGAGAAAATTAGAAAGGCCAAAGCCCGGCAAGAACTGAACTTGGTCACTAAGGTGAAAGACAACAATAAATATTTCTATTAATATATCGGCAGTAAGAGGAGGGCTAGGGAGAATCTCCATTCTTTGTTGGATGCAGAGGCAAACAGTGAGCAAGGGCCAGGATAAGGCTGAGGTACTTAATGCCTTCTTTGCCTCAGTCTTTAATAGTAAGACTAGTTGCTCCCTGGGCACACAGCCCCTTGCTCTGGAAGATAGGGGTGGGAAACAGAATAAGCCCTGCACAATCCATGATGAGATGGTTTTGGACCTGCTCTGAAAACTGGGCACTCACAAGTCCATGAGGTGGATTGCACCCCAGAGTGCTGAGGGAGTTGGTGGATGTGGTTGCCAAACCACTCTCCACCATCCTTCAACAGTCCTGGCTAACTGGGGATGTCCTCATGGACTGGAGACTGGCAGATGTGATGCCCGTCCTCAGAAAGAGGCAGAAAGATGATCCTGGTAGCTACAGACCTATCAGTCTCACCTCGGTGCCAGGGAAGGTTATGGAATGGACAGTCTCAGGAGCCATCATGGATCAATTAAAAGTCAACCAGGGGATCTGGCCCAGTCAGCATGGGTTCATGAATGGTAGATCCTGTTTGACAAACCTGACTTCATTTTACGACAAGGTGACCCACTCAGTGGATGAAGGTAAGGCTGTTGTGTGGTCTACCTGGACTTCATTAAAGCCTTTGACACTGTCCTTCACAACACCTTGGTGAAGAAGCTGGCTGCCCACGGTTTGGATGGGCATTGCTCTGCTGGCTGCAACACTGGCTGCATGGCTGGGCCCAAAGAGTTGTGGTCAATAGAGTTAAATCCAGTTGGCAACCGGTCACAAGCAGCATCCCCCAGGGCTCAGTACTGGGGCCACTCTTATTCAACATCTTTATTAATGATCTTGATAAGAGGATTGAGTGCACTCTCAATAAGTTTGCAGATGACAAGTTTGGAGGAAGTGTTGATCTGCCAGAGGGTAGAAAGGCACTGCAGAGGGACCTGGATAGACTGCATTGATGGGCCGAGATAAACTGTATGAGTTTCAGTAGGGCCAAGTGTCACATCCTGCATTTTGATCACAACAAACGCCAGGCAACCCTACAGGATTGGGGAGGAATGGCTGGAAGCTGCCTGATGGAAAGGGACCTTGGTGTGCTGATGGGCAGTGGGCTGAAGATGAGCCAGCAGTGTGCCCAGGTGGCCAAGAAGGCCGATGGCATCCTGGCTTGGATCAGGAATGCTGTGGTGAGCAGCACCAGGGAAGTCATCCTGCCCTGCACTCGGCACTGGTGAGGCCTCACCTCCAGTGCTGTGTTCAGTTTTTTGGGCACCTCAGTACAGAAAGGAATGGAGGTGCTGGAGCAGGTCCAGAGAAGGGCAACAAGGCTGGTGAAGGGTCTGG